TAAATTTTTTACTTTTAATTACTGATATACCCTCATCTTTTTCCCCGGCTTGTCCTTCCTCCAGCCTTTTTTTTCTTTTACCTCCAGGCAAACCCAAGAGCTTGGGTTCGCAAAACCAAGAGCCTAGGTTCGCAAAACCTAAAAGGCAACCATAACGAACAAACAAAATGAACCAACCAGTGTTAATATGAAGGAGAAAAAGGCTCCTGGGTGCGAACCCAGGCTCATGGGTGCAAACCCACGAGCTTGGTTCGCACCCAAGAGGCTGGGTTCCTCGCGAACCCAGCTCTTGGGTTCGCGAGGTGCGAACCCAAGAGCCTGGGTTCCTCATGAACTCAACTGGGTTCGCACCTCGCGAACCCATCGCCTAGAGGTAAAAAGAGAAAAAGAAAAGGCCGGACGAAGGAGAGGATGGGGAAGAAAGAATAGGGTAAATTAGTAATTAAAGGAAAAAATTTTACCATGTCATCAATCTTTGAGGGCAAATTAGTAATTAAAAATAAAAAATTTAGCATGTCATCAATTTTTCCCACGTGGATTTTCCACGTAATTTAATAAAAAAAACAAAATGAATTTTTCCGTTAATTAACCTGCCACATCAGCCAAAATTTAACGGAGGGACTAAAAAGGGGTCGGATTTGTGAACAATAAGGACCAAAAATGGGATTTTTTTCGGTACAGGGACCAAAAAAGGGCTTTTTCCTACAGTAGAGGGACCAAAAAAGGTATTTAACCTTAAATAAACTGCATGTCTGGATATTGTACAGAGATAAAAGAACAAAGGTAGAAAACGTTCAACCTATTTACATGAATGAATAACATAACTAAATCCATAAGAGGAAGAAGAACTAACCGAATCAAAAGAGCAGACTTGTTTTGAAGGCTAAGTTGCTTCCAAATGCTTAAAAATAAATCAAATTGGAATTTGTGGAAGAAAATATGAACAAAGATGAACAAACCTAGGCTAAGGCTATGAACAAGAGTAGATCTTGCAAACTAAACTGGAAAATCTGGAAACTATTGTTGAAATCTGGAAAATACAATCTGAAAGCTGAAAAACATGCTCTGGGTAGTGTATGTGTGTTGGGCAGGCCTCCTCCTTGTTCTCTTCTCTCTGTTTTTGTTTTCTTCGGTGCTAGGAACTTCCTCCATGATTTTCGATACTATTCCTCCATGATCTAATAGTGGGGTTGCATGTTTGGTAGTTATTTGACAGTTATCCTATAATTTTTATTTAACCTTATCTCCAACAAAACTTAAAGATAACTACCTAAAAACCCTCAATTTCCCACTTTAAGTCAAACTCAAACTACCAGATCCAATTTTATCTTCTGCCACCTAAGATCCAACCTCCTTGAAAATCCGTCTGGGCCATTAAATTGTAAACCAGCCTAGCCCAAATCCAGCCTATTGATTTTCTTGATAATTGGGCTTTACCTTGACACGTGGCCTCCTCTCATTGGTTTATTTTAGGTGTAAACAATGCCCCCCAACACTTGGTTTTATGGGAATAAATCCAAGTGTTTAAATTTTAAATTACCTTTCAGACTCCAAAGGCCACGTGCAAAATCTGCTAAATCCCAAGATGATTGTAACAGGTATTCCCAACTTTTTCACAGCTGACTCTATCTGAGCGCATCTAGCCATCCATAACCAGTCATGGCCACTTGATCAATCCCTCTCATTCAAAGTGAAATAAATGAAAGAAACCCAATTTAATTATGCACAGACAAAAGTATGAACCTAGCTTAGACAGCTTCTTGGGACTCTAAGCCTCTTGCCTCCCAGACTGTGGGATAATATAGGCTTGAGATAAATTCCATTGATTTTTCTGGCATGAAGATCTCCATCAAGTGACTCTAACCAATAAGCTCCCCTTCTCAACACTTCATGAATTCAGAATGGTCCTTCCCAATTTGGAGACCATTTCCCAAATCTGTGATCTGTCTTGCCAAGAGGTAAAATTGCTTTCCAGATCAAGTCACCAACTGCCAGATTTTTACCTTTTACTCTCTTGTTGTAAGACTTTGCAATTTTGAGTTTTTGAGCTTGCAATCTATCCAAAGCTGCCAAACGTGTGTCTTCAAGGTCCTCAAGTTTAAGCATCATGGCCTCATCATATTCCCCAGACTGGAGATTATGCTGAATTGCTATTCTTAAAGACCTAGCTATTATCTCCATTGGCAAGACTGCATCGTGGCCATATGTCAAGGTAAAAGGTGTCATTTTGGTTGAACTTCTTTGTGAAGTTCTATAAGCCCAAAGTGTTTCAAACAATAGTTCACGCCAGCGTCTAAGGTTGTCATCCACCAATTTTTCAAGCAAATTAATTACCACCTTATTAGAAGCCTCCACTAGCCCATTAGTTTGTGCATAATGAGGAGTAGAATTTAACAGACGGAAACCCATTTCCTTTGCAAATGCCTCCACTTGATGGTTGACAAATACTGTGCCTTGGTCTGTTGTAATTGTTTTTGGCAGACCAAATCTATGAATAATGTCCTCTTTGATGAACTTGATTACATTAAATTGATCTACCTTCTTCATGGATTTAGCCTCCATCCATTTGATAAAATAATCCGTTACCACTATAATAAATGAATGACCTTTCGATGAAGGGGGGGTACACCTTACCAATCAAGTCAATAGCCCAGCCTTGAAATGGCCATGGTTTGACAATAGAATTAAGTTTAGAGGCTAGACCTCTTTGAAGTGGCCCATGGATTTGACAAGATTTGCAGCCTTTACCATAAGCAATACAGTCTTTCAGGACAGATGGCCAGAACAAACCATGTCTGCGAATCAGCCAGCGCATCTTGATCCCAGCCTGGTGTGCACCACAAATCCCATCATGGACATTAGACAACATCTGGAAACTTTCATCTGGACCCAGACAACGCAGCAGTAGTTCATCATGGCCTCTCCTATAAAGTACATCCTCAATCAAGACATAATTGAGAGCTTGCATTTTGGTTTTCCTAGATAGCTTAGTGCTCTAATCCTTAAGGTATTGAATAATTGGAAAGTGCCAGTCTGTCTGGGTAACATCAATGCTACAAGTAGAAACTGTCATGCCACGTTGATGAACTGATCGCAGACTGCATTTTTCAACTATTACAACTTTCTGCATTACACCTTCAGGAATTTGTAGACCTGAAGCAATCTGAGCTATTTCATTAGTTTCATGATTATGGTCTCTAGGCACGTGTCTGATGGACACATCATCAAACTCTTCTAGTAATTGCATAGCCAAGGCAAAATAAGGGGCTAAAGCAAGGCTAATACAGTTGTACTCACCAGACAATTGCTTCAAGACTAGTTGTGAGTCCCCTATAACCTCAACCATGGATACTTTAAGCTCCACCAACATCTCAAGATCAATAATCAAAGCTTCATATTCTGCATGATTATTTGTGTAATCAAAATCCAGTTGGAAAGACTTATGTGTTTTTAGCCCAGACGGGGAGATTACCACGACTCCAGCTCTAGACATGGTTTCTATACTAGATCCATCAAAAATAAGTTTCCCGGGAACTAAACTTATTGAAAACAAGTTAATCCCTTTCTCTTCATCTGTTTCCACTTCTAGACATGGATGATTTGCAAGAAAGTCTGCCAGTGCCTGCCCTTTTACAGCCTTTTGTGGTATATACTTCAAATTAAATTCAAATAAGGCCAGAATCCATTTACCTATTCGGCCTTTTAACAAAGGGCAAGATAACATATATTTGACAATATTAGTCTTAGCAACCATATAGACCTCGGAATAAATCAAATAATGTCTCAATTTTATTGCAACAAAAAAGAGAGCAAGACACAACTTTTCGACCAAAGAATATTTCACTTCGGTCTGGGTCAAACATCGACTCAAGTAATATACAACCTGCTCCTATTTTTTATCATTCTCCTGCACTAGTAGACATCCTATAGACTCGTCTGCGGTGGATATATACAAAAGTAAAGGTTTATTTTTCACATGCAGTACAAGTACTGGTGGTCTGGATAAGTACCGCTTTTCATATCAAAGGCAAACTAGTGATGTTCTTCCCACTTAAAATCCGCCTCAGACTTGAGTTTCAACAGAGGAGAAAAGACTCTGGTTTTCCCAACCAAGTTAGAAATGAAGCGTCTTAAGAAATTAACTTGGCCAAGAAATCTCTACAACTCCTTCTTGTTCTGTGGTGGTTTCGCCTCAATCACAGCCCTGGCTTTGTTCTTGTCAACCTCCAGACCACGCTCATGCACCAAGTACCCAAGAAAATTACTTATAGACACTCCAAAGGCACACTTTAGTGGGTTCATTTTCAAGCCATGATGCCTCATTCGCTCAAAAGCTTTCCTCAAATGGACTAGGTGGTCTGCTTCCCCATGTGACTTCACCACAACATAATCAATATAGATTTCCATAAACTTACCAATCATATCATGAAAAATTGCATTCATGGCCCTTTGATAAGTAGCTCCAGCATTCTTCAGATCAAATGGCATCACAACCCATTCAAAAGTTCCAATAGCACAAGGGCATCAAAAGGCTATTTTTGGAATGTCTGCGTCTGCAATAAAGATTTGGTTGTACCCACTATGACCATCCATGAAAAATAAAATTTTGTGACGGGCCACTCCATCAATCAACAAGTCTGCAATTGGCATAGAATACTCATCCTTTGGTGTAGCTAAATTCAAGTTTCGAAAATCCACACAAACTCTTAATTTTCCATTCTTTTTCAACATAGGCACTACATTTGACAACCATTCTGCATACCTGCATGTCCGAATGAATCTAGCTTTTACCAGCCGCTCAATTTCTTCTTTCACCTTCAAGGTGACCTCTACAGACATGCATCTGGGCGGCTGTTTATGCGGTCTGAATCCTTCTGCAATTGGCGGTTTATGTTCCACTAATTTTCGATCCAGACCTAGCATTTCTGAGTAATCCCAAGCAAAACAGTCTTTAAATTCATGCAAAAGTCTGACAATTTGATCTCGTGTCTGCGGCTCAAGAGAGTCGCTGATAAATGTTACCTTTGGTGCACTTTCAGACCCTAAATTGATCTCCTCTAGTGGGTCTTGAACTTCAGCTTTTAAATGATCCAACTTGGCTGGGGCAAGATCCAACTCCTCCAAAGTCATTTCATCACCCTGGTCTGCCTCTTCACCTTCATGAACAATTTCAAACCTGTCTACTTGAACTACTTTTTCAGCAAAATAGGCCGCTAATTTCTTTGTTATCTCCAACAGGACATTTTCTCTTTCTTGTCTCAAATGATCTTGCTTCATTAGATTTGTTCAATTTTTAGTTTCCCTTTCGGCCTATAAGGAATTACTGTTGTTAGCCGAAGAAGTTCATCACAAACTTCGTCTACAACACGCTTAGACAATGATGGTTTGCTGCATGCTGTTATCCCAATCGGCTTCCCATGTCTATCCATCCCAAAAAATCGAATGGTACCAATGTCTTCTTCATAATATCTAGCCTCCACTAGGTGGCTATTGGCTGAAAAGGCATATCATCTGCAAACACGACCTCAACCTTGCCACCATTCTAGAAAATCAGTTTCTGGTGAAGTGTAGAAGGGACACACCAACTTGAATGAATCCAGTCACACCCCAAAAGTGTATTATAAGTAGCAACAGTATCCACCACAAAAAATGCAGACATCAGTGTCCTATTTCCCACTGTTAATTCAACAGGCAGCAAACCTCTTGAACGATTCACCCCTCCTATAAAATCACTAATTGTAACCTCAGTATGCACTAAATCATCAAGAGACTTGCCTATTTTGTAAAGCATGCAAGTTGGAAGGACATTGACTGCAACTCCATTATCCACCAAGACACGGTTGATTGGAGTCCCATCCATGTGAGAATTGATATAAAATGGCCTAATGTGTCTAGCCATCTTTTCTTCTGGTTTTTCAAACACAATTTTATCAGCCATGTCCTCCTCTTTATCATCCTGAGCTGGAACAACGATTGCCTCTTCTTCTGTCTGTTCTAGGAACTCACAAACGATTGGTTCCTCCTCCTTCTTGGCTTGGAAAACCAAGGGTAATATCAGCACCAGACATGACAAATTCACTGAGAATTCCCCAAAACGAATAGTGCCATCTTCTTTTGATTCAGCTCCACGATTCCTAGACTGTTCTTGTGCTTCAAAAGTTGCTTTTAAAACTCCATCTTGACTCACAATGACAGATGCCACCTTTGGAGAGGCTAGAGATTGGTCATCCCCTTTCAGTAGAGTCTGGGTTACAGTCTTATTTTTCTCTTTTCTCACCCACACCATGTTCCTTTTTGTAGGTTGGCGTGGTCTGCGAGATGAACTTCCCTCAGCCTCCACCTGCTTCTGTTGCCTTTTTCTCTCTTCAACCCTCTTGTGTTGCAGTCTGCGCCTCAAGGTTCTAGGATTCTGGGCTGGAAACTTGGGATGACTAACTTTCTCCCACCGTCTAAAGGGTGACCTAAGTGGTGGTTTGACCATCCTTGGAGACCTAGTACCCTCTGAATGAGGTCTGGTACTTTTTGGGCTGAAGCTTCTGGTCACAATGATCCTTCCTTGCCCCCCGAGCCTCTGCTGGTCTGACCTAACGCTCTTGCTATGTCTAGACCTCTGTGCCTCAAGAACCCACCTCAAGTCTTCGGCAGCAAGGTTCCTTTGAGCATAAGGCAGACTCTGATTTCTGGCAACACTCCTGAGGTCTGCAACATTCACGCCAACAGACACAACTGGAAAAGGATTTGCATCTACTCCCATGGTTTCCTTCGCTTTGTCTGGAAATTTCAAGATACCCTTATCAATATTTTCTTGCAAGACATTATGAAAAATAAGACAATTATCAGTAGAATGCTTCCAAGAATTATGAAATTTACAACAATCTCTAGCTCCGATTTCAGCCGCTATCGGGATTTTATGTCTCAGCGACAGCTTAATCAGACCGCTCTTTTTAAGGTGGTTGAATATATCACTAGCTTTTGACACATCAAAAGTATACTGTTTTCTAACCTCACCAACATCACGTCTCACAGATGTCTCAAGCTAGTGAGTTGGTTTGACAAGGTCTGGACAAACAATAGGCTTGTCTGTAACCACCTCAGCCACATCAAGATCAAAATTAGGGTCACTATAATAGGTTCCATGTGAGGCAGCTTTCTTTTGAACATTTTCTTTCAACAGATTTTCATACCGAGCCACTTTATAAGACAATTCATAGAAGTTTCGGAATTCCATCCCCTCAAATTTCTTTCGGAGCTCAATATCTAGACCATTTTGAGCCAGCTTGACAAATTCTTGTTCTGGTAGTGCAACTTGACATTTCAGTCTGGCTCTCCGGAACCTAGCAAGGAATGCCTCAAACGACTCTCTAAACTTTTGGGCTAACCTCAACAAGTCTACCATAGACACTTCCGGTTCACAACGATAGAATTGAGCATGAAACAAGTCCTCCATTTGCCTCCAAGAGTAGACTGAATTTTGAGGCAAACTAAGGTACCAAGTAAGGGCTGTCCTAGTCAAAGAGCTAGGGAACAGTCTGAATTTCAAGTTATCATCTCCAGACACCTCTCCACACTATATTGTGAAGCGTACAATATGTTCAATAGTGGATTGACCAACCTCACCAGAAAATAAAGTGAAAGTTAAATGCTTAATTTGGTTCCTTAACTTTATGAAATGAACATTTTTGGTCCCTTAACAATTTTTTGCACTTTTTTGATCCCTCAACTATACAAAATGCATTCCGTTAGTCCTTCTGTTAATTTCGATCGTTAACTCACTTATGTGACATTTTTTTATAATTTTTTTGATGACGTGGCAAAATCAAATTGAAAACGTCTTGCCCCGTGGATTTTTTTTTCATGCCAACTCACATTATTATTATTTATATTTTAAAAAATAAAATAAAATAACTCACAGTCATCTTCTTCCTTTCTCTTTTTCTTTTTTTTCCTTTCTCTTCTTTCTTCTTCTTCTTTCTTCCTCGGGTCATTGAACCCAGAGGGGGTTCCACCGAACCCAGCAGATCTGGTGTCACGCCCCAGAACCCAAATCCGAGGTGCGACAGACACCGTGCACTCGTGAGACGGGTCCCACAAATGCACAAGGCTCGGAACTTATTCAAATCACAAATCTCAAGAATAAATCCCACTTACAAAAGGATGATAAAATCTAAAACTTATATCCAACTAGAATGGCTAGCCTTCTAACTCGTCACTCCCCTCGGTTTCCCCGTCCTCGGTTTCACTTCCTGAAATGGTGGACAAGGGAAAACTATGAGATAAACTTAGTAAGTAAATATGAATAGCCCTTGGGTAAAACTTTGAAGCATGCCAGATAAACCATGTAAGCGTAACAGACTTTTAATGATAAACCATTAATGCGGAAATCGGATTCAGTTCAATAACAAAACGTTTCATGACAAACTGTTACATGCAGAAGAAAACTCAGTTCAGTAGTCTCATCTATAAGTCATGGCCAGTGTTTACAAACTCCCACTGGCAGGCGTCAGTAATGGTACCAGTGTTTACAAACTCCCACTGGTAGGCGTCAGTAA